AGGCTTGCATTGCTCTTGTCTCTAAAGTGGAGGTGATAATGCATTCTCTGGGGAGTGAGGCCCCTGAATTACAAAGCTTGATCTCAAGGTCCAGCTGCCTCCCTCCCACACCCACACAGGCCGCCTAGGTGTGCAGACCGAGTCCACCACCTCAGCACCAGGAATGAGTGAGGTGAGCTTGTTCAGTTTCCTTGGAGAGGCAGGGTGTGTGAGGGAAGGGAGTCTATTGCAGCTGCAGAGAGCGTTCATGTCAGTAAAATGGATTCAGTGAGGTACAAAGAAATCCAGGGAGGAAGTTCTGCAGGAGGGAGGAATAGGTCCTGAGACATGAGTGAGCTGAGCTTGTAAAGAGTGAAGGTTGTTAGGCCTTGTGTTAATCTGCTTGGCTCCTGCTCTAATCGCATGAATGCATCACTGATGGCTCCTGAATGTGGTGTTTATTTCAAGAGATAAAAAATTCTATTTCAAACTGCTTTAGTATGAGAAAGTCAATCTAAAATCATTCTGCTTTGTATTTTCTTTAATAGAAATCACAGATAAAATATTCATGGTGCTATGGTTTGTGTCTGCATGTCTCCCCAAAGCTCATGCAGTCATGGGAGGGGGCTTGTAGTTTATGATCCATGCATGGTCTAATGCTGGGTTTATGGGTATGAGTGCTACACCCACCCTGGGGCGGACAGTTTGCATACGAAAGGAAGAGAAAGGGGCTGCTTACCCCACCCCTCCCTTTTGCTCTTGTTGCTTTTGCTGTTTTTCTGCCTCTGTGAACAGTTGCCCTCTGCCATGTGCCACTCTGCCTTGGAGCCAGCCAAGCATGGACTGAAACCTGCATGAACTGTGAGCTAAATAAACCTTTCTTTCCTTAATTCTAGGCATCAGGTATTTTGTCCCAGAAGCAAAATAAAAGTGACCAAGAACATGGTTAACAGAAAATGTGTCAGTAAAACTGCCCCATTCATGGTAAAGAGCAGAACAGATCTGTAGAGCCAGCTGATCCCATGTACAAACTGTATCTGACTAGCACAGCCGTGGCTGGAATGGAGAAGCTGTGTCTGGGTCTGTGAGCCCCTGGGTGGAGACGTAAATGTGTCTCCACAGAAAACAGTGGTGTCCTCAGAACCACTGTGAGACTCCTTTGTCCCTGGAAGCCAGAGCACCTGCATTTCAGGAAAAGGAACCTAAGTGACAGGTTACAGTGTATCTTGTGATATTTTCTGTTTTAAAAATATTCAAATTCCAACCCCGGTAGTAAATCTTCTACAGTTTCAGTTGCATATGCAGTGCCTTCCACATTAAATATTATAGCATGTATTTTAATATCTTTAACCAATTAAAATTCATTCATAGTTTCTCTTTTAGAATTAAAAATAGATAGGTTTCTGATTCAGATTAGACATTAAATACATAGGTATATGACTCCAAAATTTAAAAATTTAGTTTTTCCTTGTATTATCTTGTCACATAATAGGTTTTCATATCTTAGGTTTTAATTATAGCAATATCATTTGAAAATTTCTTTGATAAGTATATATTTTTTCTGAGGTACATGCAAATAGTTTACCTCAATGCATTCTAGCATTAAGCCAATCTTTCTTGAAGTCTCCCCAAAACAGGTCAAATCTTTGTGGTATTACAGTGCATCCAGTATATACTCGTTATCTGGATCTCCAAATTTCATTAGAATTTCAAATTTTCCTGTAGAATAAATGTCTCCCCCAGATGACAAAATTGTGAAATAGATTTCCATGAAAGTAAAACCAAATGAGCAGACGTAGAAAGTGCTGTAAACACAGGTCTGCATCAGAAGAAGCACAGCCGACCTGTCTCCTGAGTTTAGCACAGCTTCCGGACAGTCTCTGTGACCGTCTAGGAACTGTTCCATCCCCGCTCTGTCCCTGTCATGGCATCCAATTGAATCAAATCTCTGAGCTTCTCTATACTAAAGGAGCCTCATCTTTCAAAAGAAATGAACAGTAGCTCCTGCTCCAGAGATTTGTGAAGGTTAAAGTTCAGCTTTCGCAGTACATTGCACCTGTGATTTCAGAGTTAAACATGCAGCTCTTTGAAGAATACTAGAGCAGGAATGCCTTCAGTCACTGTCCCTCATGAGCAGCAGCAGTGAAGTGGAGCAAGTGGGTCTCAGTCCAGACTCACACCTTCACACAGAAATCTCTGGCACTGAAGAGCCCACCCTCAGTGGGAACTGAGATTGCTCCCCAGAGACCTGGGCTTGCCATGCCCTGCTGACCACATGCTGTATTTGCAGTGCAGGAGCTGCCGCTAACACGTGGCTGGAGTCTTGCAAGTGTCCACTGTGGCTAAAGTCCAGTTCCTGGTGTGGTGGGTAGGGGTGGTGTGGACACACAGGAAGGCCTTTGGTCATTGTTGGGCAGACAGTGGGGGGAACCCCTGCAAACCTCTGTGTCTCTGCACTCTCCTTGAAGTGAAATCGTGTTCCTGCACCCCAGGTATGACGAGCTTCCTCTTGCTGCCAATACCACATGCCAAACCGGTGGCTCCCCCGAATCTC